ACCCCCTCCCATGCCCCTCCTCCCCGTACGATAGCAAGCACAAACGGATTATGACGTCATCGCTATATGTATGAAATGATGATGATGATGATGATGATGACAATATAAATTATTTAATTTCGAACGGAATTTAACAAAAGTTTGGTACCACCGCTACCACCTTGCACCACCACCCCACCCCACCCACCCACCTAACGTCTCTCGAACAACCGTACAAAATTTCAGATATATCATTCAGGTAATTTTTAAAACCCCCGGCGGAAATGTTATTACTCGTCGAGAATAACAATTAATATAAGTTGCACTGTTATTATAGTGACTAGAAGCAGTAGGAGAAATACAATGAGAAGAAGAAGAAGAAGAAGTAGAGGAATCTGTTATTCGGTTAAAGAATTCTCAATCGACTTCTTTTTCTTTTTCAATAAATTATAACTCGTAAAAAAAAAAAATAAAAATATTTTTCTTACTTCCCTCCTCTTCCCCTTCCCTTCCCTCCTCTTCCCCTTCCCTTCCCTCCCCTCCCCATTCCCCTTTTCTTTTCTTCTTTTTTCCCATTGAATTCCAATGCGGAATAACAAAAGAAAAATCTTTCGGAATAATAAATTACCTTTTTTTAAAAAACAGGAGAACAAAAAAAAAAAAAAAAAAAAAAATTAATTATTTTACCGTTGCTACCAATACGAAAAAAAAAAAAAAAAAAAACGACAATACGGCAAAAAAAATAAAAAATGTTCGGTCGAAAATAATAATAATAATAATTTAAATTTAAATTTTAACTTAATTGTGATTTAGTCATTCTTCCATTCTTGATCGAAAAAGGTAAAAGAAAAGGAAAACGTGAGGCACGCACATAACCTACGAGAGTTATTTGCCCTTTGAAAGGTCACTAAAAATTATAACTACTCTCTCTCTCTCTCTCTCTCTCTCCTCCCGTTCGAATTACCACAATTAAAAACAAAAACCGTTCGTAGCAATATTATTATTATTGATTGTTGTTTTAAAAATAACCGCAAAAAAAAAACAAAAACAATAATAATAATAATAATAAATTTTCTTCGTTACTCTCGCGCGGCAGGGCGGAAAATATTAAGAAATGAAAACAACAATTTCGATCACGTCGACGACGACGACATGACACACAAATGATGTTGTACAAAAAAAATTATTATTATTATTATTATTATTATTATTATTATTATTATTATTATTATTATTATTATTATTATTATTATTATTATTATTAGGAGCCACGTATATTAAAAATACACGGTTCACTCGCGAAAAAATTAATAATAATAATAATAATAATAATGAGAAAAAAAACGTGGAAAAAGTAAAATTTTTTCGAGCGGAATAAACAAACAAACAAAAACCATTCCCTCTACCATTAATCGATCTACTACCCCTAACTTCGTCGTCATCATCGTCGTTGTCGTCTGCTACATAATGCAAAACCGTTCGATTATAAACCGTCGTAAACAATTTTAGAGAGATTAGTGCGTGCGTGGGTGTTTGTGTCACGCGTGTGAATAAAGGTTTAAAATTTGATAAACAAAATAATCCCATCGAGGAACAACCGACAACGACGACAACAACGACGACGATGACGATGACGACAACAACAACAACAACCAAACCTTTTTCATTGTGTATTACCTTCCGATCGATAATCGTATTAGAAAATGGTAATTACGATAATGCCATCATCCATCCATCCATCCATCCATCCATCCATCTGCTCCTTGTCAATTATTATTATTACCGTTATGTACCAAAAAACGTGTCAACGTCACTCTACCAGAGCGTTACCCACATTCATCCTTTATTTATTAGAAATCCCCGTAAAAAAAAAAAAAAACTTTTTTCAATTTTCTAGAATTTTCCACCGCGTCATCCGTGCGAAATGTTTAATTAGGTTCCATTTAAAAACCTTCCTTTGGGAGTAAACGACGGAGGGACGAATCGAAACGCGAGACGATAAACAAACAAATTTTCTTGCCTTACCCCTCGCGTTCTCTCCCCCTCCCTTATAATAATCTATATGTGAAATTATTGCGTGACGCCCGCGTGACGATAGAATATTTTTCCTACACGGAGAATAATCGTAACGTAATCCGAACAATAATAACCTGACCTAATTATAACCGTTTGACTTGTGGCTCTCGATGTACCTGAATTTTTATCTTCTCACTCACTCACTCACTCACTTCTACCCGACTGGATTCTTTTGATGAAAAAAAAAAAAAAAAAAAAAACGTAAATAAATAAATAAAACAACACAAGTCTTTTAAAAATTGATGATCTATATCATCGGGTAAATAATTTCTCCCGTGTGTGTGTCCGTGTCCGTTAGTAGTGTTTGATTCGAACAAAGATGTCTAGAAAAAATTTTTTGTTATCAAACTGCATGCATGCATGCTCGTCGATCCCTTCTTCGTATATCGTAAATTAACTTTTTTTTTTTTTTTTTTTTTATTTGATTTTCAATTTTTAATTTGGATCTCGCGCGCACACACACACGATCGATTCCTCATTCCCCGTACCCCCCACACCCCACCCCCTGCGCCCTCCTCACCCAAACGTTGTCAAGTAGTTGGTCGAAAGGAGGGGGGGAGGGGTGGAAAGGGGCGAGCGGAGACTTTAACCGACAACATTTGATGAGTAAATATTTCTCGCGTCTCAATTTAAAATGATACGTCTTTCTGGTACGACGGCCATAAACCTGGTAGGTATATGTGATCGTAAAAGGTTGACACTCGAGGTGACATCCCAAAACCGCCAGGCGCCAAGTCGCCAGCCTCGGACGATAAATGATCATTTAATTTGGAATAACTTTTTTTTTTTTATGCCGGCCTTTATTTTCTTCTTTTTTTTTTTTTTTAATGTCTCTCACGGTTTCCATCTTACCGCGGCGACCAAATGAATCTCTTTTCGTTTTTCTCTCGTCCATTTTTTTTTTTTTTTTTCAACTCCTTTTTTCTTCGATAACCACCGCGACTTTTCAAATAACAACCACTTTTTTTCCCCTCTCCCTCCCTCCAAAAATCACCTTTTCTCGTATTTGTATTTCTATTGTTTGCTGTAATTATCGTGAAATCCGCTTGAGGCGCTGAAACTTGTTCCTTTTTTTCCAGTAAATTTTTATATTTTATTTATCGATTATTTTCCGATTCGATATATTTATAAATATCGAAAATCGATAGAAAGTTATTTCGAGAAGAAAATCTTTGATTGACTTTTTCAAATGATTTTCTTTGTAATTTTATCATCATCATCATCATCATCATCATCATTATTACTTTTTTTACGTGACAGTACAACAGAATAAATATCGTTCCGGTGTAACACAAAAAATGAATAATTCCATAGAGTACGAAATTTATTTATTTATTGCGTAATTAATGGAAGGCGCTTTTAAATCACTTCCGTGACTTTTTTTTCTTCTGCTTCTGCTTATTTCATAAAATCCAAGTAGTATTCATCAAAATGATCCGTTATTCTTATTATTGTTGTATTGTTTCAAAATTTAAATAAACTCGTTCATTTTCTTCCCATCGGAGTGATTATTATTATTTTTTTTTTTTTTTTAAATATTTTTTCAAAGGTCAACACATTTTTTTACAAAGCATCTCGAGATTAAAAAAAAATATGTATAAAGCTAGAGAGAGAGAGAGAGAGAGAGAGAGAAATCGTCACTTCATAAATCGTATATGAACCTCTTTTTCTTTTTTCAAAAGCAGGCACAAAAGTAAAAAAAAAAAAAAAAAAAAAAAGCGTAAACAAAACAATGTTAAAAACCGGTTGGCAACTCTGCTACTGTAGAGAGTGACGTCACGTCAATTGTACGTGGAGGGTAGGTAGCACCGTGAGAATCCGTGAACCTCTCAAACTCATCATTAATCAGGAGTAATTCTCGTTTCGGTCGTAAGGAATCATTGAATACGAGGGAATAACTCGCGTCTCGTACCATCAGCATTCGCTCCAGCACTGGAATGCAGGTCCATCCATCCATCCATCCATCCATTTATCCAGCACAGCCAGCATTTTTCTTCTTGAATCTCATTCCGAGTCTGACCCCGCCTACTTGTTTTTCATTTTAACTCTTCTTCTACGCGGCCAGTCAGCTGTGCGTGCGTGTGCGTATTCCATTCCCTATATTTTTCTATCAACTTTTTTCTTTTAAAAAATTCTTCAACTTTCTCACGCACGCGCGCTTGCACACACGCACGCACACATACGACGCATATAATCGATTCGGACGAGGTGTTACAACACGTCAAGGTGATTTAGAATACAAGGTCGTATATATATATATCGTATCGAATAATGAATTTTGGGTTTGCGGCCATTTAAAAAAAAAAAAACTGGAGCAATATTACTACTATCGTACTACGTACGTATCGATGACTAATAATTTTTTTTTTTTTACCGACGGCCAAAAAAAGAAAAACCTTTAAAATGTCATCAAATTCTTACGAATCACACACACGCACACACAACTACTTCCGGTATATTTTTTTTTTTTTTTTTTGTCATGAAATTCTCATAATTATTGTTTTCTCATAATTTTTCTACTCCTCATATTCCCCCTTCTCCCCTCCTCCATTCTCCCTTCCTCTTCCCTACTTCTTCTTACAATTAAAAACAATATTTTGTATTATTATTATTATTATTATTTCCTAACCGCCGCCATTGCTAATTTTAAAAAAAAATGTTTTTTTTTTTTTTTTGTTAACTTAAAAAAATTATTATGCAACGAATAATAAAAATTTAAAAAAAAAAAAAAACTATTATCATTATTATTATTTAAGGTTTTTGGGAAAAAAAAAAAAAAAAAAAAACAAAAATAATCATTAGGAACCTTTTTTTTTTTTTTTTTTTTTAAGAAATAATGTGTTTGTCACCCCCAAAATCACTTTATTATTTTTAACACAATGGGGATGGAAAAAAAATAAAAAAATTTTTTTTTTTTCAATTCGTGACTCTTTCAAGCCGCTGAAATGTTTTTCTTGTACATCCTTGTAAAAAAGAGGAGGAGGTGGTGGAGGTGGAAGAGGTGGAGGTTGGGGGTTTTGCCTTTTTCTACTGCATATAATAATAATAATAATAAAAATTCCATCGCTCATTGAATTCTCCCTCCCTCCCTCTCTCTCTCTCTCTCTCTGGCTCGTTCGCTCGGGGGGTAGCAGGTGACAAATGAGTCGGATTCGCTTTGACCAGTATTTTGACAAAACGAGGTGACAGGTTGACAGAAATATTTTCATTTCATACGCCCTACCTACCACGGTGGCCGAAAACCCCACCACCACCACCACAACCTTCCCTCGTGAACATATCTATCTATATATATATGTCGGCTTCCCTACATTTATCTCGACTTTTTCTTACAGGTACACAAGAGTTTCCTTAGTAGTAGTGCTCCGATACGACGTACGGGGACGACGGAAGAACGTCACGGTCACGGACAATTTATTTAAACTTTTTTTTTTTTTTCTCCTTTTCGACAATAATAGTTTCTTGGCATTTTATTTTTCTTTTTCTTTATTTTGTTTTGTTTTGTTTGTTTGTTTGTTAACGGAAAGGGTCCCGTTGTGAACTGCAATTTCACGACGAATTGAGAAAACAAAAGTAAAAAAAAAAAAAAAAAATTTTTTTTGATTTTGAGATTCTGCGTTCGAAAATGTGACAGGTGCTAACATTATTTTGAAAACAAAAGTGAAAAATGAATAGAAACCAAATTTTTTCCATTGACAAAATCGATCCCTCCCCCATTCCCACCCCCACCCCCCCTTCGTAAAATCTTTTTACAATTTCGCAAACGATAACGAATGGATTAATTTAAAAACAACAACAATGATTCCGTCACCGACATGACGGATTTTCGATAACAATAATAATAATAATAATAATAATAATAATAATAATAATAATAACTATTACTGATCGATCGGCGTTCGATTTATTTTTATCGATTTTTATAACCGAATTTTATAGTAAAATTTTTCCGTTTTTTTTTTTTTTTGGAGGGGGGTGGGTTTCCCTGTTGAAAATAGATTTAAGGCCTTTTTATACTCCGAGGTATATTGGTAACGGTTTTGACAAACGATCGGCGGTGAGTGAGTTTAAAATCTGTTATAAATAGATAATTCGTTCCATGGATATAAAAATAATAATAATAACAAGAAAAGTCCCGAGAAAATCTGGAAAAGTTTAAAAAAAAAAGTTTAGAAAGGCTGTGTAGAAGATTAGGGAGGTTTCTCTGGATAAGACTGGAGAAGTCTGGAGAAAACTGGAGAACTAGAATAGTCTGGATAAGCCTAGAGAATTCTAAAAATATCCTTGAGAAAACTGGAGAATTCTGGAGAACATTCTGGAGAAGACTGGAAAATTCTGGACAAGACTGGAGAATATCCTGGAAAAATCTAGGAAAAAATTAATATCGAAACATTTATTCGTAAGGAATCGGGTAGAATTTTGGAAATAAAACTCCTACAAGTGCAAGCATGGAATCTCGCGTTGAATTAAAATAATAATAATAATAATAATAATAATAAAAACAGAAACGATTCCGGTCATCGTGGAAGCAGCACTGGGAGCCATGCCACCACATTCAATGAAAGAAAATTTAAAGAAGATTTTGAAGAACCTAAAGGAAGAAACCATCCAGGAAATCGCACTATGTGGAACGGCCCACATTCTTCGGAAAATACTCTATAAATAACACTCGAGCACTTATCCCTAGGGAATCCCCAGGTATAAACCTGGGATAAATACTTAAAAATCCCGACAAATAAGAGCCTTGTCGTGTTTAAGAGTGACCATAATAATAATAATAATATAACCTAAAGGGAGGAAAGAGACCACGAGAGGCGTACGAAGACAATAAGACGAACTAAACCGAAAAGAGCGAAAGAGAGAGAGAGAGAGAAAAAACATTTCCGAGAACGAATCGTCGCCGAGAAAAAGAAACTATGAGAAAACGTGGTGGTGATGGTGGTAACAAGCTCGGCATCGAGGGTGGTCCCCTGGGAAAATTCACAAATCCCGAAAAAAATTAAACAATTAATAATAATAATAATAATACCCACCCCCATTTTATCGATCTTATCGATCGATATATACCGAAAATTTTAAAACCAACTCGACAATCGTTATTGTTACGTAAACGAAAAATTATTTCCCCCTCCCCTTCCCCTCCCCCGCGTCTCTAATCAATCGATCACGTCCCGTTTGAAAAACCGATGCCGAAAAAAAAATTTCTTACTTTTTCCCGGGAGAGAAAAAAAAATGGCGGAAGAAAGGTGTGGTGTTGGACAGGAAAAAAAAAAAAAATATTTAAAAGGGGTGGGTCACCCCTTATAAAAGACAGACGAATATTCGAAAGATGAAGACATATATTCTTATTACGGCGGAAACGAGTTTTCAATTACGATATAAGGGCACGGGAGGGGGAGGGGGAGGGGAGGGGAAATCATCTGTCCCGAGATCAAAGTTTTGACAATGAGGACGACCTCCGCCCATGCGCGGTTATTATTATTTTCAAATTACCTAAAATGGTGATTGTCTCACAATTTTGTGCCACGAACCCCCCCCTCCCCCCCCCTTTTTTTTTTGCCCACCCAAGTCAGTTGACGATTATTTTTTTCTTTTTAACAAAACAGATAAAATTATATATAAATATATACGAGTGCGTGAGTGCGTGCGTGCGTGCGACAGTGCGCCTTTACGCACCCTGCGTCATTTGTTTTTTGTTTTCTCTGAGAGATTCGAGAAGAGAGATGAGTCGGTATTGTCACCCGATTATCTACCATCCGTCGCATATCATCTATTTGTCATTCCCAGGATAGGATAAGGATGATTTGCCTCCGTGGGAAGACAACTAAGAGACTCTGCCCAATGTGAGTCACATCTATTATAAATTGATTATTATTATTATTATTATTATTATTATTTCCTAACATTCTCTCTACATCATTTATTATTATTATATTATGGATCGAAACAAAAAATTTTCTTTCTTTTTTGGATATACGCACGCACGCACGCACGCACAAACGGACGCCACAGAAATTTCCAATAATTCGTAATTAAAATGACGATTCATTCATTCATTCATTCACTGATTGATTGATTGATTGATTGATCATTTACGCGATTCGACGGAACCATTATACATCGTTCGTTACTCATTTTTAATTATTAATAATAATAATAAATTTTAACGAAAAAAATCGATTGGAAAATTTTACTCGTCGCTATCAGTTGTGTTTTGATAACGCAACCAACACAATTTCGGTCACGCACGCGCACGCACACGCACACGTCATAAATAACGACAATTATGCACTAATTTTTTTTTTTTTTGAGTCATAATTTAAAAGCTTTTTAACCGTATTAATATTAATAATAATAATAATAATTGGGTCGAATAAATGCCTAAGGGTCAAAATCGTTTATTATAAAAACACGTTTGACTTGTCGCAAGAAAATTTTAAAAAAAAAAATCGTCGTGTCAAGTGAAAGCAGGTCTGGTTGAAAATTGTTTAACGTGCGAAACAAAAACAAATAGCCTAAAGGTTATTTTTGCGTAAAGACTAATGCGTCTCACACACACAATACGCACACACACACTTTTACGCGGCAGGGAATGGGAAGGGATAGGAAGAGGGAGAAAGACGAAAGGGGAGGGAGGAAAGCGATGATTTGATAGCGTGCAGTGTGTCAGGTATGTCACCTGTTAAAACCACGTCTGGTATAAAAAGTTTTTTTTTTTTTTTTTTTTTTTTTTAAAACAAAACGAATCGTGGAAGACGGAGGATGAAGGCGACGCAAAGTCCTCAAGTGAACGCACCTTAAAGTTGGGGGTCTTCCTCGTTGTTGATTCTTTTAAATGACTCATTCACCAAGTCTTTTTTTCAAAAAGACCCATGAATATTAAACAGGTATGCGCGGTAATGTCACTCTTTTTCGAATGTAGGCTTTCGAAAAACCCAATGTCAATCAACTTTTTTTTCTTTTTTTTTTTTTTTTTTAATTCTCTGCGCCATCTGGATTAAAAGACATTATAATCAAAATGAGAAATCCGGAGACGCATTTATTTCCTCTATGACTTTCTTTTTTTGTCCGTCGTCGTCGTGCGTCTCGCTCGTTTTGCCGCCAATATTTTTCATTTGTAAAAGTTTAAACGTGACTTTCGACTCTCCGACTTATCACACAATATAATCACATCGACATTATTAACTTGTCAACTATATATGAACTCTTGGATCGATTTTGCTTCCATCTTTATTCCTTTTTCTTCTTCTTCTTCTTCCACTAATAATTTAGTTTATAAACATTCATTTCACGGCGTACACAGAATTTTCCTTCGTCAAATGGGTCAATGTCGACGCCTGAACATTTTTCTTCTTTTTTGCTTACTCTCTCTCTCTCTCTTTTTTTTTACGACTTATACCGTTAGAATCGTGTGTGCGTGTGTGTGCGCGTGCGCGTGTCAAAACTTAAAGACAATAACTTTTTCAATAATGTTTTCATTTTGAATTTGACAACAACATGAAACTAGTATGATCTTACGCTTTGGAATTCTTAGAAAAGACATGAATTTGACAGGGCAAGACCATGATGACACAAAAAAAAAAAAAAAAAACATGGCGCCGTGTCGTAGCCTAAGAAAACTTGATGCATAGTCAAAAATCAATTTGGAAGGTATCACCAACCATTATTCCAAACAATTTCGAGTTTTTTAAATACCAACTCTCCAGGGGAGAGGGGAGGGAAATGGAGGTGGGGGTTCGCATATTTTTTAAGCAAATAAAATTTTGTCTACTTTTTTTTTTTTTTTTTTTTACTTTTTAAATTCATCGAAGCGTTTCCTACTACTCATAACTCTAATAGTTTCACGTATTCAACGGAGTGTGTTCGTTTTTAACGGAAATAAAATGGAAGGAAACCTGCATCCTGGAAGGGATGTAAGTCGCGTGTGTGTGTGTGTGTGTTTGCGACGACGACGACAACGACGAGGATTCTTTCGTCTGCATTCTTCTCCTGGGTTCACAAAGCCAGGTCTCTACACCTTCGTGTAATTTGATGTCTTGCTATGCAAAACTACTAAATTGTCATAACTACTCCGCCGTTTGAGAATTCCGAAAGAAGAAACCGTATAACGACGCGACGTTTCATCATATTTATTTTCCGCCATAAATTTCCCGACGACGACAATAATTATAATAATAATAAATCTTTAAATCCGTCGAATTTTATTCTAATAGTGATAAATATATTTTCATTGTTCGATCGTCACGTTAAAAAAAAAAAAAAAAACTCACGGTAACCTTTTTTTATGAATGATCAAATCAATGCCATTCATTCGAATTTTTTTTTTTTTTTTTTAAACTAACCCATATTTCCGGTAGGATCTTTAAAGTTCCGGTTTGTTACGTTTCAATGCAGTGTCGACCACTTAGTAGTATGGTCCATTATCATTCACCACACAAATATATACATATGAGATTATGATGAATCGTTTTCGAATCGGCGGCGGAGATGATACAAAAACGTAATAATAAAAAGGAAAATCGACCCCCTCGTCATTTAAAATCACTCCGAGAACCCCCCCCCCCGCCATTACTCCCTTTCTTTCCGACGTCAAACTTTTATGCGTGCATGCATGCCGACAAAATTTTTATTTTCGCGTTTGAATTATGAAATGCAGGTGACATAAACGAGTATAAAAATGAAAAGAAAATCATGAAAACAGTGAACGCAATCATCTTTTTATTACGGGAAGGAAACAAAACAATGACAGTCTGAACATAAAAAAAAAGACAATGACAGCAACTGTACGACTGACATACGCTGACATTTTCTTTTTTATTATTATTATTATTATTATTATTATTATTATTTAACGATTAAAAAGAGTACCGAGAATTTTTAACAACTACGTTACGTATGCTACTCTTTTACCTCTTAATATTATTATTATTATTATTTTAAATCGGGTATCGGAATCTATTGGAATCATTTTTATTACGTTAAAATTACGTCAGATTTCGAATTATTACGAGAGAGAGAGAGAGAGAGAGAAAATAAGGTCATCGTCATCGTCATCGTCGTCGTCGTAATCGGTTGGTCGCTTTCGAATTCCATAATTCGTGACTTATCAGAATTTTTTTTTTAATATTCGAACCGTTTGAAACAAAAAAAAAAAAAAAAAAAAAAAAAAAATGGCGCGGGGGGGTGTATAATTAGAGCATTGAGACAAAATCAAGGTTGCGTCCGACGAATTAAATGTCCGACCGACACGATAACAATCCAAATAGAGAAATTATTCAACAACAACAACAACAACAACCGACGGATGAATTCGAAAAAAAAAAATAAATAAATCCATATAGTTTTATTTTTATTTAAAAATGGCGTCATCGTCGTCATCGTC